CCACCACTTGTAACTGACGGTAAAGTAACCGACGGCGCATAATCGACTGCTGATGAGAAATAAATTGGTTACAAAAAGAAAGCACTTGCTTTTAACGTGAATATCATTAGTGATTACACGTCTATGAAATAGCTCTTCAGCAGATGTGAATGTCCAGACTAAACTAAGAAACGAGACGGGTAAAGATATCAATTGAATGACGCTAACTCTTTCATGTTGTATGCTGATGACGTACAACTGGATGACGAACTGAGGGGCTGATTCAAGAACGGCTTCAAAGAACGCAGCAGCCTGGCTGTAAACGTCCCTGCATTCATCATTATCATTCTTGTTCTTCAAGCAGAACACAAACATTTTGAGCCTGGCCACAGCAGCTGAGAATGGATGGAAAGCGGAAAGAAACGACTTTAACCAGTGACAAGACGGAGCTCGCCTTCCCTCGAGCTCCACATTTGCGTTGGTAAGTGGCCGTTCGAGAACAACATAATAGTATCCAAAAGGCACACACGGTAGGAACACAAAACCAAGGCCAACGGCAAACCATGTCTTATGATCCTCGCGGTAAAATTGCACCAGTGTGAGTATGTCGGTGATCGGGTCAGCAAAACTTAAAATGGCTCCAACAAGAAACACATACTTGCTATACCACTTGACGTCCATTCGACTGAGCAGCGTTAGCTGACCTTAGCTCGGGAAGTGGTTAGTTATGGGAGCTTCCTATTGCTATGAATAGCTAAAAGTGGCTCGCAAGTTAGCGAGATTTTACAAACGAGGCGGAAATCTGATCAATAGCTGGGTGATACGAGAGGAAGCAGTTTGAGACAAGAGTGAGTGATGTATGACGTCAACGATTTCCTGCATTCCGTGAATCAAGTCAAGCGACGTGGCGCACACCACGTTGTGATCTCATCACCGCAGTGTTGGATGTAGGGCCGATTCGCAGTAGCAGACAAAACTGAAATTGTCTGTGACCAAATCTGAGGACAAATTTGGTCGTGAAATTTTTTTGTCTCGTCGGTTGCATCCGCATTGACTGCGGTGAAAGTCGCCAAATTCGTTCAAATCTAGTTTCGCAACACGAGCGAGAAATATCCCAGACGCTAAATTTATACCGTTAAAAGCTTTTTTGACAAATGATCATGACTGACAAGATAAACACAACTTTGTTTATTTAAACGATTTTGTCCAGTTTTTACCCGGGACAAATTTTGTCGGCGGTACGTTTGAAGATTTATNCACATTTGCGTTGGTAAGTGGCCGTTCGAGAACAACATAATAGTATCCAAAAGAAACACACGGTAGGAACACAAAACCAAGGCCAACGGCAAACCATGTCTTATGATCCTCGCGGTAAAAGTGCACCAGTGTGAGTATGTCGGTGATCGGGTCAGCAAAACTTAAAATGGCTCCAACAAGAAAAACATACTTGCTATACCACCTGACGTCCATTCCACTGAGCAGCGTTAGCTGACCTTAGCTCGGGAAGTGGTTAGTTATGGCAGTTTCCTATTGCTATGAATAGCTAAAAGTGGCTCGCAAGTTGGCGAGAGTTTATAAACGAGGCGGAAATATGATCAATAGCTGGGTGATACGAGAGGAAGCAGTTTGAGACAAGAGTGAGTAATGTATGGCGTCAACGATTTCCTGTATTCCGTGAATCATGTCAAGCGACGTGGCGCACACCACGTTGTGATCTCATCACCGAAGTGTTGGATGTAGGGCCGATTCGCAGTAGCAGACAAAACTGAAATTGTCCGTGACCAAATCTGAGGACAAATTTGGTCGTGAAATTTTTTTGTCTCGTCGGTTGCATCCGCATTGACTGCGGTGAAAGTCGCCAAATTCGTTCAAATCTAGTTTCGCAACACGAGCGAGACACATCCCAGGCGCTAAATTTGTACCGTTAAAAGCTTTTTTGACAAATGACTGGCAAGATAAACACAACTTTGTTTATTTAAACGATTTTGTCCAGTTTTTACCCAGGACAAATTTTGTCGGCGGTACGTTTGAAGATTTATCCGCTTCGGCAAAAATTTGTCAAGTCGTGACAAACCATCCGCAGTTGTAGCGGGTTGGTGATGACAGAAAATTTGTCTAAGTAAACGACTCCCACTTTTCAACTTACTTTTTCCGGTTACGTCTTCACTCAGTCTGGTATACTTCAACTTGACTTCTCCGGTTTACTCCAACTGTCCGGT